TTCTTTGCTCTGTGGATTTTGAGGTAGAAATACAAATAGTTTACAATATCATGATATTGAATGACATAAGAATAGTAGATTGTAGCTACAATTTAATAAAGAAAAAAATAACTAAGGTAGAATTTTCTACCATTAATAATATAGACATACAGCTACAAGTACAGTTCCAATCTCTTCTAATCATGATGATAACCAATTTAAACTAGTTGAAAACATATTATCTTATTTATCTAGGTTGTCAGATTACTAATCTATTGTTTTTAGAATGTATAAAAAAAAAATCAGATATATAATATCGCATATACATATATTTAAACATAAAAATTAATTTAACTTTATTTAGAAATCAATAATAAAATTTGGTATAAATCATCAAAAATAGGTACAAATAAATTGAGAGTACAGAGAAATCTCTCTAAATGCATCCCTCAGGGGTATAGTAAAAAATCTCAAAAATGTGTACTTAGAGAAAGTGTGCATTTATAGAAAAAATATATAGTGCAATTATAAGCTAGGACTAAATTATACTGTGCATTTAAAGAGATTTTACATATAGGATATATTTATAGAGGGTGCACTTAGAGAGGTCTCTCTGTAATATTATGCCAAATAATTATGAAAACAGAAATTAATGTTGATGAGTGTAAAATTACAAATTACAGTGCACGAAGAAGTGCAATTATGATTTTAAAGGCTTTAGATATACCAGAAAATAAAATAATATATTTTTCAGACTATAGGTCTTGTAAAGAAATTAGATCCTAAAATAAACCTACCAATGACTAATAATTAAGTTCAATAGCAACACTAATTCTGTATACAGCAATCAATAATAAGCTTGAAGGATTTTATTCTTACTCAGACAATTTGTATACTCACAAGTCTGAAAGTGAAGATGATGATAATAGTGACAATAATAATAGTGACAATAATAATAATGATAGTGACAAAGATAACAACAATAGTGGTATAAGTAATAAATATGTGATTAAAATTGAACATGAAGATAATATTTTTTAATAAAAAAAAATAATATTTATCTAATAAATTTTATTATAGTTAATTAGAACAAACATAACCTACTACAAAAAAGGCTAAAGGCTGTTAAAGCCTTAACTAATTTTTAATATAACTTAAAACTTTATGAACTTTTCAAGTCACCTTTTCTAAAAAAAGGTTTAAACAATAAACATCAACAAACAATTCAACAAAGCAATAGTATTACAAACCAAAATGTATGTCAAGAACAAACTAATCATCTAGTTCAACCACAAAGTAATCTTTAAACTAAATTAAAAGTATACAATAATTAACCAACTCGACAAGTTCTTAACCTAATTATACAAAATATCATATTGAATATCCTATCTACTGACAAATTATTAATAATCATTTTGAATCTTAAATTAAAGAATTAAAAATACGATGTATAATATTATAATGTAAAAAATATTTATTAAAGTTGTCTAGCTCTGTATTTAAGAATTTTAAAAGTTTTTTGTCTAATTTAAATTTTTTAGCTCTGTATATAAAAATTTTAAAAAATTACTGCTAGTTTAAGTTTTATTACTTTTATTTAAGAATTTTAGTCTGATTTATGTTTTCTAGCCTGAATTTGAAAATAACTAATTTTTACTAGTATATATGAAAATCATATGATTTTCATATAGACTAGTAAAAATAAGCTTGTTAAATTTGCATAGGTTGTTATATAAGACTCGTGCAATAATATCTATTATTAGTATTATAATTTTTCTAGTTTTCTAGAAAAATAGATACTAAAAATTTATTAATTAATTAGAATATTATTATTCTTAATAAATCTATCTGTAATTTATTAGCTATATTTATTATATTTTAAATCTAATTTTAAATATTTTCAGTTAATATTATTGAAATAAATATCAGCATATTGCTAGTGATCTCTAAAAATCGTATTCTTTAATTATTTTTATTGTTATTTTACATATACCAATATATATATTATGTCTCAAATTAATTCTTGCCTTAGATATCAATTAGTCTAAATTAGGTTAAAGTTTGAGTAAGGAATATATTGTAGTTTAGACCAATTAATATTAATTAGTTAATGCTACCAAATGATTAATATCTGAGATATTTTAGTTATCATTTGAGGCAAAAATTGATCTGAGACACAATATATATATATATTATTTTAGTTATAAGTATTTAATTACTTATTTTGTTAAATTAGTATTGTGCAATAAGTTTATATTTCTTTGGAAAGTTGTATTGCAATTTAATACTATTTTTTTTTAGTTTATTTTTAATAGACTAATTACTGATACTTCTATTCTAATTTATATGTAGTAAACAAACTTTTTAAGAGTTTTCATTCTTTAATTGTACTAATAGTTTAAAAATATTACAAGAAACTTTAAGAATATGTTGTTAAAGAAAATTTTTAAATAATATTTATTGACTTGTAGTTAAAAAATACAAGATATAAAAGAGAATTTATTAAATTTTTTAATGAGATATCTTTATATTTATCTTTGTTGTCATAGTTTTAGGTTTATTGCTATAAAAAATTATAGTAATATAGCAAATAATAAAATATATTATAAAATTTTGTATTTAATAGCTTCTTGTCTGTCTTGTTTTCTGATATTTAATAGCTAACTCTTAAAATACTTTAAAAATAAGTTATCAAATATTTATTAAATTGCTTGCAGTAAAAACTCAAAAAAGGTTATTTGTATATATAAATAATTTTATTATCATAATCTTATTTTATAAAAGCCTTTAATAAGTAGCATTACTAGTATAACCCACCAAGTAAAAAAAATATTTATAAAATAAGTATTATTTATATTATAAAATAGATAAATTTTGTAAATATATACTATATTAATATATGTTTTGTCAATCTTATATTAATAACATGGCTTTTCTTAATACAAGTTACTCTTACCAATTTTGCTTAAATTTATAAGCCAAAACATTGGATTTATAAATTCTAATTGAAACTTATATGTATATCAAATTCAAATTCAAATTATTAGATACCAAACAATGTAATTGAAAATTTTCACTATATTAAGAGTTTTTTATAATAAATGCTTTATAATGAATATTATATATATACATATGCTTGACTAATTAATTTTAATATAAATCATTGTAAATAAATAATACAAATAATTGAATTCAGAATTAGCTAAAAAAACTAAATAATATTTGTAGACTGCTTAGCTAAAAATTGATGTTTTGATTTATTCCAACATCAAATTTCTTCAATTTTTGTAATTCACTATTTTTTTTACAAGATCCTTATATGTAAACCATTCTTGATCCTAATACCCCAAGTTAACATTTGCGTGAAGTTGTAACTTCAAGCACTTGGAATTGCATTGACTAAAATTAGTACTTGAAATTAGATCCTCCGGCATGCATTAGTTAGTAAGTTAGGTAGGTAGGTGTAGCTTCAGGTGCTTGAAGTTGTAACTCCAAGCAGATGCTAATATTAAGCACGACAGCAATACAGTAAAAGCTCTTCTACATTAGAATCTAATTTGTTTGCAGGTTTAATGATATTTGGTAAAAGAAATATTACATATAGTATAAAAGTGAATTCGAAGTTCAAAATAAAAAGTTTACCTCTATTTTTATTATAGTGCTAAATAATTTGGGCGTATCTGTGCGTCTAGTTGAATAAATCCAAAAAATAAGAATATTTTTTGAATAATTAATGGCGAAATTATTAGAACATTCTGACCTGAATCCGTGCATCTTACGAAGTAAAGTCTTGACCTGCGCGGTAAGGAAATTTTTACCTAAGTCACTGATTTTAATGGTTATAAACTATTGAATTTTGAAATTAAACAGTTCTTTTTTTTTTTGAATGTAGTCTTAGTTCATTATACGGTGTATTTACCTCATCTAGTAACGATGTGCAAATTGACGTCAAACCACTGTTATACTTTTCAAAATTTTAAATTAATTAAATTTATTAAATTGAGTAAATCGAGTAAATTGGTAACATCGAACGTTAAATTTAATAAATTTATTCTATATGTAATAACAAGTATATAAGCGCTTAATACCTTCAATAAAGATAACTGGGAGTTCAAAGTTCCAAGTTAAAGAAATCAGAGTATTTAATTTGTGATTCACCTTTATAGTGTAAAACTCGAGGAGTTCAAAAGATCTTAAGTAGAAGTGTTTGGCTCTACTAATCCCACTGATAAGTAAAATCTGTAATAACGATAGGAATTAGTAACTAAATCCCGTGATTCCATATGAAGAGACTCGTGACGTATCCAGAGCTCTAATTGACCCTAGTTACTCGGACCAAGTCTTTCCACGCCTCGATCGAAGTCTTACCATTATTAGGGTTCAGTTAGAGTTGTTTAGTTGGTATTAGTGTAGTGTTGTGGTGTATTCTTGTATTGAAGGGTATTTTTACACTTCTACAACGGTCAAAACGACGTGTCGAGGGTTGGTATTCAATAATGATACACGACAACGCAAAATGAATTAGATTTCGCGTCTAATACGATCTTTATTGAAACATTTATGACATGGAAATGTTTGTTAATTATACAGAAGCCTCATTACATTTTACGGTATTCACGATATGTTCACAAGAATAGATACTAATTTTTTTTGCACATTATTTGCCTCATTACGTATTCAAAATTATCACTACGAATTGCACTATCTGCAAGTTGTCATAGTACCGTTTTTAATACATCTAATACTAACGCTAACAAATAAAATTCAAATATAAAGAAATGACAGCGGGTCAGCAAATGAAACTATAAATAAAAAAAATAAAAATAATAGTCCGAAAATCAGTAGGTAAATAAAAAAAAAAGAAACCAAACAAAATAATTGATAGGCTATGAGAAGGAGTTGTACATATGACACCGCTTATTAAATATACCATTTATTTACATAACTTGAGCTGATTAAAAAAATTTGAACCAAGATTTTTTTCTATTTATAAAAACATTTGTAAAGCTTTGAAGGGAGCATCAATAATAATCGAATGAAGCTTCTTTACTCTTACTAAACCTTTTCCATTCATGCTTAGTTGATCTAAAGAAAGGAGTAACTGAAATATAATTTGTTGGCATAGAATCACTGGCTGATTTACTGATGTAAACAGTTCGTTGTCGATAGACCGCAACGACATCTAACTCGATTAATCTTAACTGTTTTTCAGTAAATTTCGTTTGATCATGTTGAATGACCAAGTCATCTTTAGCAAACTTTTCTTTAATCCCTTTATTTTCAAGGCTATTTAAGTCGATATCATCAAATAAATCATCGAACGTCCGGGCAAAACAAGTTTTTCTGATTTCAGTGGTAGTAGAAATAAGATAGTAATAGCCGAAACGGAAAAAGTAAAGGATATTATATTGTTTCACTTCCTCGTTCACGTTTAACTGCTGATCTCGTCTTCGTTCTTTTACTTCTTGCCTTTTTTGAATGGAATATTGAACATGATTGAATTTTTTAAAGATATCAATTTGAAGATAACAAAGAGCATAAATTGCGGCCAATGCATAGAATATTGGTGTTTCATAATGTGCAATGAAATATATACCAGCAAAAAGGGGAATGCCGTGTCTTAGAAGGAAGAATAAAATAAAGAAGCGTTGTTGAATAAAGATATCATAGTTATGCTTTTGTACTTTGTATGAGAGAGCTGGTCGAGCAAACACAAGATATGGTTGCATGATAAATAATGAGACTGGGACATATGGTGAAAAGGTTAGGAAACATGTCAAGATAAATGACGAGTAAGTTAAAAAGCAGTGTAAATAAGGAAATCCATGTTCATCGTTTAAAAATGATATCACATGTGAAATAACCTCCTCCAATAATTCAAGTAATAAGATAATTACAGTTGAGATGAGTTTAAGAAATAAGGAGATTTTAGTTGAGATAGGTTTAAGAAACGAAGAAATTTTAGCTGGTTCAAGAAACGAAGAAATTTTAGCTGAGACAGTTTCGAAAAATGAGGTGATTTGAGTTATGAGCATTTTTAGTTTTTAGCAAAACGAATGTTTAGAACATGAAGTAGAACAGGACTATTTATTACAAATTCGCACGTAAGATACGTGATATTACAATACAACAATGAGGTTATTTAATATTTAGATGAAACTAAAAGAAATTGTAATTCACATATATTCACCTTATGGAGTTCACCTTCCGATGTTTATTTCGCATTAAGTAGCGCCATCAGAATCGATTCTTAACGATTAAAATGCATTTGGCAATGGTTCTTTGTGTTCTTTAATACATTGCAACACTGCAGAGGTGTAATTTACTCAATATAGAGATCGGAATTGCATTCATTTATTCTTTTATAAATAGATATACGCGTCAACTTAACGACGACAAACAAAAAATCACGTGAATACATGCAATTCGTGTGACCTATTTTAAATTTAAAACTTATACCGTGGTAAAACTTTTTTGGATGCGCCTTTTTTAGAATTTGAGTTAGGATTTAGGTGGGTATTGGCAGACTCTCAAAATTTCTGCTCATGCGCCTATCCCCAGACTTAGGGTTAGAATTATTAATAAGGGAGTATAAATTTAATCTGATTTCATTTTGTTCTGTAACACTACGCACGTACGCACGTGATTACGTGAGAAATTGAATTTACAAAAGGAAATGATCATCAATACCTAAAAAATGGCCAGGCAATTTTGGCCAAATCAATAACTTAAATCATTGAAAATGGCTCAGCCATTCTTGGAGATATCAATATTATTCGATGGCGTATTAATTATAAGAAGGTTGTTGAAATGGAATAGTACTACTTTAACTTCTCAGGTAGTATTGATGATAATGAATAACTTTATTTGTTGTAAAAAGAGCAATCATTCATGTTTATCTATATTAAGAAAATATTTGTAAGAAACGTAAACTAAAATGGTTCCAGGTTCTGAAACACGAACTTGGGTCTGAATGAAAACTTTTAGTCCACTGCATCATAAATCGGAGTTCATAATCAACACTTTTATCGTAATGTTAACAGTTTGAATTTAAGTAGCAATTTAATTTTATATTCTTGTAGACAAGTTTTATTTATTTTTTTTTATTTAATGCAATTTAAACGACATTTTGTTCATTCTAGATTCTTCTGGAATAATATGAAACCAGCCCACTTCAAATGATCCTCGAAATAATTTATCAAAAGTTATTGAAATTTCAAGACTTAGGATTTGTTGTACTGTATTTGTTAGTCTCATTCGTATTTATGTCTTCATATGTGTTACAGGTGGTACAATTTAATTTGTCGTTAATGTCTTGATAGTTGTCAGTATGGGTTCGAGCACGTACACACATATCATAGACAGAAGTTCGTTTGATTGGTTAATTTTTATAGATCTACCCGTGATTTCCCGTGATTATTAACCAATCAAA